GTGTCTATGTTTCTGCTTGTATTGTGTTTGCGACTGATGAGAGCAATCGAAATGTTGACATTTCGTAACCTATGTCTTCTTTCTGCTTTGATGAAGAAGAACCGCTATTGTTGGCAGGACACCAATTTTTAGAATCACGGCTTTTTGCTTCATAACGCAATATATGTATAGGTAATATGGAAAATGATAATAAGAAATGTTAAATAAAGTAGTATTTGTTTCAAGAGTAACTGTTTCAGAGCTCGGAAGTTTGTGCCATACCGCATCATTATGCGTGGTAATTGTAATAACTTATCAATACGCTTGTTTCTAGGCGGTTGTTTCTGGTACCAAAGTATGCGTTATATCAGCAAAATGCTTATTATGCATAAAATGGCAAAATGAATATTCCTAAATTTGGCATGTCCAACGCAAAACAAATAAAAATAATTGACATGGTAGTCTGCAACAAAACCAACTATATTTTAATAAATAATGCAATCACTTACAGTTCTCTGAAACAAACGTTCGGCCACCCAAGACGTGAACCACTAAAGATAAGCACACACTGGACAGCAAAGTATCAGAGTTGTGGCTCTTACTGAACTGATGCCTGAAGGATATTATATGTATCCTCGTGAGTAGTAGCAGGAATAACCCTTGCACTTGAGTGATAGTACAATTTAAACAAAGTCGTACTTTAAGTAACGCCAGAACACAAAGGATTAAAGTGAACCTTGTTCTTGCGATCACAAAGACTGTTGTCGATGAAGCAAATAGAAATTGGTTGTTGCCCACCCGAAAGCACTGCACTCTGTGACCTGTTTCGACGTTAGTTGCTCATATCGGATATGGATAGCAGGCGTCGAAGCCTGGATCATTGGGATGTTGGTTGTGACGGCTACTCGTAAGCCACCGGTAAATTAAAGGTGGCCTAGACACCAAGGGTTCAATCGTTGATCCACAACTCCATAACGGTCATCATCTTGCCTGTTGTGGCTTAACTTTAACTAGTCATTAACCGGACGTTCATCACGCAGTGGTTCAAAATGAGTGGTGCTAAATTGGCATCTAAAATTCAATGATCTCTGCGCATCGATTCATCAGACATATCTAAGCCAAAGTGACCGAGAACATTGCAGAAACGCGTTTTTGACACTTGTTCTTGTCCAAAGTTTTCGTTCCTAACCAATTTGTTAATCACGAGGCATAAATAGTGTTGTAACATTTTCTTCATCACCTCTGCTCTCTGCCTCTGATGACTGTTGTACTGCTGATAGCTGCCCCTTTAGACTGCGACTGTCTGACTGCACTGTCACGCGCCCAACCCACCAACGGAATGCAGGAGACCAAGGTTCGGTAGACAGAGAGACTTATTGTATGAGAGCACGGCCTAATAAATAGGTTGTGAGCAACTACTTAAACAACAATATTAGAGAAGCTAATTGGTGTTAATTAACACAACTCAAATGGTTCAAGTTCATGATCCAACTTGCCTCTGATTCCGCATCAATTCGCATTTTGATCTATGTGCGAGTTCGATCTCTAATTGCAGCTGGATGCACTTTTACGGCACTGCTCTCGGCTTGATTCCTAGCTGTAAGCTCTCTCCGTAATACCTCTCTCTCTTAAAAGTTGGGTTACCCGGAGGTCACAGCTCTTCCGACGTGGGAATCCACCTAGGTTCACTTGGATCTGCGACCATGGGGGTTCGGGTTTCGTCCAAGACATCAGTGTCGTCCGTACTGGTAGCTGGTAAAGACATAAGCATTTGGAACAGCTACGACCAATATTGCAGCGAGTAACAATCGTTACCGAACTCACAGGAGTCATTGACTCTTTGAGCAAATCTAACTTCGTAATCCGGTTGCTTCAGTGCAGCTAAACATTGGTACAGTATACTGGGTAGATTTTTCCATAGTGTAGCAAATCATTGAGTCTGCCTTCACAGGCGATTCTTCATTTCGGCTGCAGAAGTTCCTGTGAAACCTTCTGAACCGTTAGAATTGTAGGTTTGACTGACGATGTGCCGAGTCTTGCCCGGGTTCCACGAGAAAGGCTCTTGAGAGCATGCAACGTTTCTTGCAGCAGCGATATCGGGACATTCTTACGTTTCCCTGTGGGGTATTTCCTCTTCCCTGAAAAGTGTGTACGAAATACTGCAAAAGTCGCCTCTCTCACTGTGCCGCGATACCAGTTTCTTTTGAATTTGGAACTCGCTTGTAACCTTGAAGTACACAAGCATCTGAATTGGTGCACCTTTTGACAATGATGATTTTTGTGAGCGCAATTTCTCACAGAATGTCTCCCATCACCGTTCCATAATGCAGTCGGGAGCTTCCGGTTCGGCACATTTTCATTCACGTTTTGGCCACCAGTGACTGTATGACAGGGCTGGGGTTCTTCTCTGTGATCTGAAGTTGCAATCATTTCTGGGTCATGATTCAAACTGAGCAGCTTGTGGCATTCAGATACAATTGCCTGGGATGTTAACCTCGGTTCCGGTTCCCATTCCATTTGAATGTTGAGTTTTTCTGATAACAACTGAATTAACTGCCGCTGGGGTTTTTCAAACTGAAGCTGTTGCTGTTGAAGTAGGGACTACATCTGCTCGAATGAAATGGCCATGATTGTTCAACACCTCCGTCGCCACTTTTGTAACCTTTTTTTCCTCATCTCTGCTCTCTGCCTCTGACGACTGTTGTACTGCTGATAGCTGCCCCTTTAGACTGCGACTGTCTGACTGCTCAGTCACGCGCCCAGCCCACCAACGGAATGCAGAGGACCAAGGTTCGGTAGACAGAGAGACTTATTGTATGAGAGCACGGCCCAATAAATAGGTTGTGAGCAACTACTGAAACAACAATATTGGAGATGCTAATTGGTGTTAATTAACACAACTCAAATGGTTCAAGTTCATGATCCAACTTGCCTCTGATTCCGCATCATTTCGCATTTTGATCTATGTTCGAGTTCGATCTCTAATTGCAGCTGGATGCACTTTTACGGCACTGCTCTCGGCTTGATTCCTAGCTGTAAGCTCTCTCCGTAACAAATAGATGCAGACAGTAAACCAAGGTATTTTATCGACGCGATCTCAATCTATATCAACAAAGCGCGCGACAACGCCGACCAGTAGCTTTAATTATATATAGAACTTGCGAGGATCTTATGTCTCACTGCTGCAAGACTTGAACATTATTTTTGCACGATAATGAACGGGTCTGTTAGACTGCAGTCTAACCAACCGGCAGTCTACCATCAGTGTTGTATCTCAGTGCACCGTGCTTAGGTCTACTTTGTGTTTCATACACATTTGGGATTCACCTCAGCTTCACCGGTCGTCTTGTTCTTTATTCGCCGAGGACCATAAGATGTGTAAGATGACTTACACCCCGATGACAATAACCTACCTGAGTAATACCTCACCGTACTCCTCATATTGCCTTCGGAAGTCCCCATCCATGTCAACCCAGCCAAGTCGGAATTTATAGGACAGTGGAAAGGTGGTGACAACCGGTTTTACGCCTACGATGGTCAAGGGACACTACTAGCATTTTCGCAAATAAACCATGGTGCATCCTCACCATGTGATTTCAAATCCTAGGGTGACACGAACAGACTACGTCTAAACGGGCTGCTCATCTTTTAAGTGCTCGAACGGAGATTCCGTTTCCGATCTGACAAGTTTACTACTCACCATTAATTTTTCATCACAAGATCATTGCTAGAATACGGTTAGCCAGCCGCTCGATTAGAAATTTACTTCGTGGGCCCAAGTGGTGGCTACCACGCATTCCCCACTTTACGGGCTTGCTGTATGAAGACCCGTATGAGAGAAAAGGTCTGTCCTATCGTCGGGTGTGAGTACACCTTCCCCTTGCTGTGCTCGATGTTTCAACAGCGGACATCCTGCTATAAGCGCAAACATACGGAAAAGTTTGTGTTGGCGGAGATGAATAGAGAGTTTCGCATACGCTATGCTTGAGACGACGTGTGTTAAGTGTTTAAACCAGGCTATCAGAGTAGATGGTAGATTCAAACACCGCACAGAAGTTCACAGATTTGCTTAACTTGTATTTCTCAAATTTTCTGTCCAGAGAAAAATCGTTGTCTGGCAAGGGCATATCATGTTTGCGAGACCAGAACTGCTGTTCTACAATTTTCCCACTTTGATCTGAAACGATTCGATTCGACGTGCCACAGACACGTTACGTTGGATTATTTGTTGCTTATTTCCATAAATTTATATTGGTCTAATCTCCCACTTGTTTCTGTGACATAGGATCAAGTGTTTGCTATTTATTATAAATGGCGTCGCATACAGCAGAATCAGAACAAAACATTGGACAGTTAGAGATAAAAACGGCCGTCTAGATAAAGGATGGAAATAGTCTATATTTTACGTCTACTAATGTTGAGACCCTTCCAAATTCAGCTGTCTCACCTATTTATTTTAACTTCTTTTAAAAGAGATTAGACATACTTTTACTCACCTGCACCTCAGTATTCTTGCTAGCACAATATCTCTTACTGATACTTGAAAATCAGTTTAGGAGTCAGTATATTTTCCTCAAAGAAACGCAGCTAAAGACGACACGCACAATGGTTGGGTGCGCACATTGAATTAGTAGTTTCCTGCTCTCACCACTCATCGGTGCGCTTCAAGTATTCGCATTTGGTACATTCCCGTTCAGCTGCTTTAAGTGCATTAGTTGATGGCATGTGTAACTTTTGATTTCAATCTCTCACTCACAAAGTTTGTTAAACAATGGAAATTGTGAAGGCAAAACGGTTGGTAAGAATGCTCTTTTTGGTACAACGATTCAAGCAACAACATGTACATAACTAGTGCTAAATTTAACAGCTTTGTGAAATTTGCAGTTGGCTGATTACCTCACGAATTTGAATTAGGTGCAAAATTACCCACGTGTCAGGAAGTTCTGTTGTCAATCCGATCATGAACTGATTGAATGAACGCTAGAGAACAGCTGCTGGCGTACCAGAATCAGTCATTTGCGTTAGCGTGCAGCTGCATCCAAACGAATCACCTCACCATTCAGCATGTGGTTTTGAATCACGGCTTCAACCAGATGTGCAAACTCCTCCGGCTTGCCATTGCGTCGGGGATTGCGTGCGGACGGGCACGAATTCATGTCAGGAGATACGCTGGCAAGCATAGGGGTGTTGAACACGCCTGTATGTCCGAGAGAGAATGTTTCAGAAGTAGTAACTACAACAACACCTTGCGTGCGCAAACCTATCAGCGAGTTTATAAACTATTAATTATTGTAAAATATTTCATCATACAATGGTGCTGACGTAGCGCCTGCAGCTAAAAATCTGCAGACCCCGACGTTTAGAAAGGTTATTTTCAGTTGAGTGTCGATTGTTTACGTGCATTTAACTAGGCAGAATTGTTAACGATGTAGGCATTGTCTTTCGGTTCGTTCAAACTCTAATTGGTAGAAACATAGTTGTAGTTTAGCCGCAGTGAATGAACCAGTGGGATTGAATTATTTAAACCTAACGGAACAAACGTATTAAGTATCAGACAATGGTGTTTCTTTACGTAATCTCGTGCATTTCGTACTGACTGGCAAATTTAAAATGTCAAAAAAATCAGGAAATCATGTACACAATCAAACTATTGTCCTTCTCATTTGCGCTAAGAAGGATAGCTTTTGGCATACATGCTCTTCTAACATACCCTAAGAGCAAGTCTTCTGCTTGAAAATCGTAAATATTAGCGGAACTGGGGCGGCACTCGTGCCATTTGCTCTGCGAACTGTAAGCTCAACAAAGCAGGAATAATTAGCACACCCTATGTAGTGGGATGTCCTAAATTGCTTATGAATCAGGATATGAATGAAAAAAGCTCCGGTTAAACAACGGGTTACGCTGGAATTGTCATCGTGATAGACTTGTTGTATTTTTTTGGCAAGTCATTATATTTAGCGGCTAGCAATTTTCCTAGGATTATATCGGCAATGCCAAAATATTCAGGGTATATGGCGAGCTGTAGACACATTTCCAAACTGCAATTAATCACATGCAATTCGTCTAACCGAAATCATTTGAAATCTTAACATATACTGTGGATGGACGCGGAAAGCACTCTCAATGTGGACCACGATTCATACTGTACTGAAGGACAATCCGATCACTAGGACGGCAGCCGAGGAGTATGGAATATGTGTTTTCCCATATCGAGCACACTGAACTCCCCAGCGGTTTCAACATTTGCTGACCTCCTCAGGTAGCGATAGCAGGCTTTGAATCAGGGAGCTCTACTCATTTATACACCGGGTCAGGAGGAAAGAATGCTTAATGAATGAAGTGGCATTTTGATGCAATCTTCATATGCATAAATTACATGGCACAATCTCAATGTGGACAGCGCTTCCCGTTAAAATGAACCTTGATTAATTCGAGCACTGGAACCGAAACTGAAGATGCAGGTGGAAAGTGGGTGTTACATGCTCGAAAAGACTGTGCTCCACAGCCAATGAGGAAACTATTCGATCACGGCAGTTAGAGATAGCAGACTCGAACCCGTAGCCTTTGGGATGTTGTCCGACAATTCTACTCCAAAGTGACCGTGTCATGGCAAGAGACGCTTGCCATAACGGTTAGTGTCTGCTTGACTAGATCTTTTGAAAGCACTCGTCGTGTGAATGACTAGTACACTCAGTCAAAATACTTTTAACACTAACTTCTGCGACTATGTAGCCTCAGAGTAGTACGCACGACTGAAGGTTATGTGGACCCTGGTTCGAGAGTCGCTATCTCTACCTGATAACTTGCAACTGGCTCGAAACCCGTGATGACTGGCAGGCAATTTTGACCAGCACACCTAAATGCAAATCGACTAGGCTGTTGAATTGGCAGTGTAGCATTTGTGATGCAAAAGCGTTGTTAGTGTAGCTGAATTTTCTATTGCTTGCGTAATAGTAAACAGAGAGCGATCGATTGAGCAAGGATGGCGCTAACTACTACATGAGTCAATGGACTTTGTAGGCTTAGGTGTAGGAGTCATCTTAAGTGCTTCAACGAGCTTGGGATGTGTTTGTGAATTTACCATCTGGCTCATCCGCAATTTGTTCTATTATCTATGATTACATGGTCTTTGCTGTCCAAGCTGACGGCCTACCAACACCCACCAAACTGGCTGGATATCAACGACTCACCAGGTTGTCGTGTGAACCCCCTACCCGATTTTTTCACACAAATCTCGTTCTTGGCTATTTCCATTCTTACGACAATCATCCTCTGGTGCATCCCTGATAAACCTTCACTAATGAGCGTCAGCATTAGCTTCTATACCGAAGGTCCATCTTCTTTACCGAGCACACACGGAGCAACGCAACTTTCACCATAAGCTCCAGTGGCGCCTTCTATACAGCCCAAATTGCCGGCAAAAGCCATAAAACCGACACTCGCTAGACAAAACCACTCTGTGTTAACTCGCTTGTGCACTAACGTTGCCTAATCCCAGTCTGAAACAATAACAAGCAAATAGCAATACGATGGCAAGCAGTGGAGTTCCATGCGTGATGCGTTTGGTATTCGGCTTGAGCCTGCTATGCTGCAACTCGCAACGCGTCACCTGACCTCAGTGCACGCTGGTGAACCTTGAGTTCTTCGAATAACTCTGGACTCACCAGATGTGACAGAGACTGTGCTGCTCTCAGCAGTTCGTATCGTAAATCACCGAGCGCAGTGCACATATTACCACATCTACCTTGGAAAGATCGCCCAAAATAAGCAGGTGACCAACGCGGTATTCCTTATAGCGATCGCAACCAAACCATATTTGCTCATGGTATTCAAGAGCTGCATTCTTCTGATCACCATGCGCGAAAACATAACCGAGAGTAGCAGTGCTACATCCTGGATGCACTCTCTGTCAACAAGGTTATTGCCAAATCCCTGACATGAGTTCCATCATCACCTAACAACAAGGACTGCGGTCCAAGGCTAATGAAAGTGAGATTACACTCCGACGGAATGACGCAAGTTCTGTTGGATAACTGGTTAAAGTTTCGAGCCAGGTTGCCAGCAGAGATCAGGCTAAAGGCAGCACGCACACGGCCAATAGTCCTACGCAATTCGATGGAACTTGCAAACGCGGCAAATACTTTATTCGCACAGACCTGCAGAGAAACCGACACAAGAGCACCCACCGCACACAAGAGAACAGAGCACAGGACGAGCGAAACGTCTGTGCAGGAACGCTCAACCATACCATGCAACTTGACTGTAAATCAAAAATCAAAAAAGATTAATGGCCGACCACCTAACGGAAGGCTTAAAAACTAACACAAATTTGATATCCATCGAAGCGCTCCTAACAACAAAAGCGCTATCTTGTATGTGCACAAAAGCCCAAGGTCCTCTAAGCAAGTTGGCCCAACAGAGAACTGCATGCTTCACAATCGCGGGACCTAGTTATGAATGCAGAGACCCAGTTGAACCTTGATCTAACAGATTCTGAGATCAATTTACCCGCTACGCCGCTGCTTCGGACCCATAGAACCGGAAGGGATATTAGTGTGATTATTTATTGTAATACAAACCTCCAATGTGAGCTTATCGATCACCCGGGAAATCCGAGCTCCCGATTCGTTTTGGTGCCGCCTATTGTTACGAAATTAGGACACATGTCTACTAGCCGTGATTTACCGCCCAACAAAGTCTACGTCGGAAATGGACACTAAACTGAATCACTGCTTTCAATTTGCTTTAACAAGTCCCATACCCACATTCTTATCGCTGGAGACTTTAACGTGCACGACATGGAAACGCCAGCAACCGACAGTACGTAGTTTAAAGCCTGTTTGCAATGGCTAATTGCCAACTACCCTCTGTACAACCACGTAACCTCTTCCACCAGATTTCGAACTGATAACAAGCCGTCGATACTGGATTTCGTGCTCACTAAAGAAGAAAGCATGGTTGACGGAATAGATACATGCACACCACTGGGTCGTAGTGCACATGTCACTCTACTATTTGACGATTTATGCTACCCGGAGTATTCAGAAAAGGAGGATGATAAAGTGCATAGTGCCACGCAATGTAATGCGTAATCTACACCTGTTGAGGATACATCTTGGTCTTTCTTAACCCGAATGCCCCGGGTGTTGCCTGAGAAACATTTACAAGGACGTTTAACACACTGGCAGCGCACGCATCGGAACAGAAGGCCTTCCAACCCAAAAACGAGCAAAAGTCATTTCTGAGAAGAAGAACACATAGATATATGTCCCAGAGGGATTTGGCATAGCGAGCTCACATGGAGAGCTCGATTGCCGAAACCTGGACTGCATACGTGACACACCGTAATTTCCGTGTGAAACTGCTCCGCGCAGACAAGGTCATGCATCAGCAGGGGTTAATGAAGCGCTCCTGCAAGAACCGCAAACTTCTGTACTGGCACATTAATTGCCTTCGAAAGGTGAAGCGGGGGATTACAGCACTAGTCACGTTTGAAGGATTCACGCGAACAGAAATGGAAGCAGCCGATCGCCTACAGTTTCATTACTCCCAAACTTTCCAGCAGGTAACGAGCGCAAATATTCTCCTCTTTTCTATTACCCCACCATCGGGTTTAGACAATATCATCATCATTGCGGAAGCTGTGTTGAAGAAGTTGTTATCCTTGCGTATACACAATTCTCCTGGAGTCGACAACATCTGACCAATGGCTCTGCAGGCGGTAGCTAGTAATCTAGCAGAACCACTGTCTAGAAGAGAACCATATTCCAGCAGTATGGAAGGAGTGGGTCCTAACCACCGTCAAATAATACTAATTCCCGTACTATCAAAATGATGGAATCTATCATTACACATGCGCTGATGCCGTATCTGGAAAGTCACAATTTTATAGTACCAGTGAGACATGACTTTCGTCAAAAACTCTCATGTAAGTCTAATCTAATAATTGCACATAATAGCTGGACTGAAGCTGTTGATGATGGAGCAGGATTCAATGTCATCTACCTGGAATTCTCAAAATCGTTTGATCGCTTAGACCATCGAATTCTGCTTCATAAGTTTTGGAACTAGGTTATTGGCGACCCAATCCTGAGTTGGATTAGCAATTTTCTACACGAACGACGGCTAGTGGTCAGAGTCCGAGAATCATTGTCCGAATCAATCGATGTGGTGTGTGAGTTATACCTCAAGGCTCGGTGCATGGACCTAGTCTATGCTTGGTGTGCATTAACTATTTGGTAAGATCAATTGCTTCCGATTTCCTATTTTTCTTTGATGATATCAAGATATGGCAAATGATGAGACGACCGGATGACCATGAACGGCTCCAGCACCATATTAATACGTTTTGAACTGGTCATATCAAAACTCCCTACCATTCAACGTAGACACATTTCGCGTTCTGCACTTATGCCATAGACATAACTACACCTAGCATCTTGGGACATAAGTATTTCAGAGCAGCTCCCATGGACGTGACCTTGATGGGCTCCTACAGAGTGACTTCAACTGTTCAAACAGGCTGAGGTAGCCACGAAAAGGGGCAAACAGCACGTCGGCATGCTGCGTAGGGCATTCAGGAGTTTCGACCCATCAACCATCCCAGGGATGCACAATTCCTACGTGCACCCGCATGTTAATACGCTATCCAAGTTTGACAACGCCATGCATACTTTTCTACAGGATTTATGTATCAAGTGGAATCAAGTGGGCGACCACATTTTAGTTTTCTCACATCTTAAATCAACGAGCCCTGCACCCCAGTGTATTTCTGTATGTTTTCATTTTTTAATTCTCTTTTACACTGATGTTACACTGATGTTAGTTATAAAAGTATTCATCTTCGCAGACGTTTGATATATATACTACATATATTTTGATTTCATCGTATTCACCCCAACCATCCTGCCAGACTTGTAAAGTAATTGATTTTCTCTCGTAATAAATCGTTTTTCATTGATTGCCGATGCCTCGCACATGCATCGATACAGCGGGGTTTATTAGCAGAGCTCTGTACTCAAACTGATTTCTCATTGCTAGCAAACTACACATTTTTTTCTGAAGGTTATGTTTTAGACTCCGTAGCTTTTGCTTAATATTGTAGTGTGTCCAGTCTTTGCAATTGATCATATACGTATAGTTACTTGTCCTATCAGTGGGATTGCGGCCCTTCAAAAGCAACAGGGTTAAACACAAATTTTGGTTAAGCTGGAACATTATCCCTAAACCCTACTTGCTCAGTAATCTCAACTTCGTTTCCCATGGTCCTTCATTTTAGGAGCTTCCCACAACCTTTGCCCAATATGCTGCTGGCCTTTTCTGTGAGTTTAACAGTTTTTGCAACCAACGATTCACTATACGTCAATGATAACCAACGCACAGTAGTTCCTTCGTCGCCTCTTTCCTTGCCACCATCCTGCCGATTTCCATTGTGCACATCGTCAGTGCCCGGAGGAACAACACTTGCTAACCCCGGTTCTTCCTTGTTAGATATTTTAGTAAAAGTGAGGTTATATCGATACACACCCTTGGTTATTTCGGTGAGATGGTGAGGTGTGCTATCTTTTGTAAAAACATGTACAACGTTTACAGTATAGCTCTCGTATTTACTGTTAGATCCTGCAACATTGATGAATACTAATCTGCGACTTCCTCTATTGAATTGTCTATGCCGTTGAAGTTATGCCGCATGTTGCCAGCAGGCCTGCGTATTTTCACAGCCAATAAAGTTTGGCGGTACAGTCGCTTTCAGAGCGAGTTCAAAAAGTTCTTCTTCCCTGGAATTCTCTAAAACTGCTCTCAAATATTTATCCGTTTTCTTGTTATTCATCACCATCTTGACAGTTTCATTCTTATTTAAGCTATACACCCCTGTCTCTGTAACTGCCGCAGTTTTCTTATCAATCCAATTTGCTCATTAGAAAATTCCCTTTCTCTCTTAACCAATATGATTGCAATATTTCCTCCTTCCTACAAGGTCCAATCTCAATCTTTTCAGCCGATGCACATTAAATCTCCTGATTGCAGAAACCTTATGATATTTATTGGCTGTGTACGATTTGAGCTTGTTACTTTTGGTTAATTGTGCTTCAAGTATCTTATCGTATAAACTGATAATTTTTATCTTTTAGGTGACTTTATGTAATGTAGTTAACCACATACATCCTCGGGACTGTCACTCAAATGGTTACGCATGGCAGATTGTGGGCTACTAGCTCATTAAGAATTCATACTTAAGTATTTGACATTTGTTACTAGAGGAATACTGTAGGAGTCTACGTGTGCACATGAGTTATGCGGTCACTACTGGTGCGCAACTCAAATACTCTCCTTCTGTCCTCGTGGATATCTGGCTGTACCCCAGACGCGCATCGTTAGTTCCATCAATCGCGTAGCAATTAAGACTCTAGAAACAGATCACGCACACATGAACTAACTGCATTCTTATCTCGAAGTGCAGATTCATTTCGAATGCAGGTTGAACCAGCTGCTACCTGTAATGCTGAATGTTTAATTCTGCAAACAGTAGATAACTAGAGAAATGGTAGACGTGTGTGAATACAAGTTCGTCGAAAGAAAAAATCATAATATTTTGGCAACTAATGGTTATTTATTGACAAGATGGTTAGCGTTGAGTGGGTTCGCTAATCCCAGAATTCTAGTACCAAAGCAACCTCGTGTTACAATGGAGTACAATAAGCTCCAACACAGTGGGGGATGATACATACCTGGTGATATAGTTACCACGCGGATGCCCAGGTCAGCCAAATCGCGTGCGATTGGAAGTGTCATGCCTACTATAGCAGCCTTGCTAGCCGAATACGCCGCAGATTTTTCCATCCCGTCACTAGCTAAAATGCTAGCTGTATTTATAATGACACCGCGCTGGTTGTCTTCATCCGGTTGGTTCTCAGCCATTGCTGCGGCAGCCAGTCGAATCATGTTGAATGTCCCGGTGGTATTGACCTGAAATTAAAAGGGCTAGCTCAATTGACACTGGTGTAAACGAATGTGATTGAAAATCTGATAATAGTAAGAAGAAAAATAATAATAATACTTATTTCTCTTGATGCGAGAAACTATATCTGTAGTGGCACAGAGCAATGTATACAGAAGTATTCATGCTACTGCATGGGTGACATGCACAGGTGGAATATTTGCTTATGCGTTTCATGTATTAACGTTCTCGCGGATGGTTGTGGCCAATGCCTGCATTTGAAAACATTGATGTTTATTGGTTTTTGAACCTCTATTAGTATGGATCATCGAGGGATTTTCCCATGAGAATATTGAGATTATGGTGGTTAGAGCAAGGCAATTGGCGAGTCTGCTTCTAAATGTGGGCACATTATCACATGGCCTGAGTGTTATTGTTACCTTATTCCACAGAAAACTATATCTGAAGAGGAAGAAATTAGAGGGGACTTTCTTTCTAGCCTTGGGTATATTCAGTGTAAAACTTTGTGGCGAAGAGTTCGAGTTCGGCATTGTTGTAATTCGAGCGTAGACAGGTTGGAATAGGTCATTTTTTGTAGCACGTCAAGAAACAGCGAAAAGTTCTGCTCCAATCGTCAAAGCCAACGTTATTCGAGTTAAAGATCATTGCAGCATCCTCGATAACTCATAGCAGTGTTTAACAATCAGATGTTTAGTAAATGACCTCTGCAGGTGCTCCACAGCATTCTGTCAATCTTTCTGATCTTGCCGCACATTATATCGTAGTATTTTGAGGAAGGGGTGAGCAAGGAGTTTGTAAAGCTCAACTCAAGCAGGAGTTGTGTGCATTTTGTTGGATATGTTGAACACAGATAGTCTAGCAAGTGCTACTTCCTATCGGGCCTGTTTGGAGAAATTGAATTGTATTTATAATAGTTTGTCACATTTTTAGCATTTCCTTCAGCGAACCGCTGTTGGTAAAACCAAAGCACCACAGCTTATATAAAGAGCTACTGCTTTTTACACATGATATCTAAATTTCTGAAATATTGCGTTGACTGCGCTGTTTCTCCGTGCATACCATCTGTGCGATTCGCCTACACATCGATGTACTCGCACGATTATTGGCTGTTCGGTTCCCATACTATCATGGTATAAGCTGTAAAAGGTGGCTACTTTGATAAAGTTTGTATAAGTATTGTTGTTAACAGGTGTAAAATGATATTACCTTTCTTGTATTGACTAAATAGCAAATTAACCTTGCCTCCATACCCAGTTATGCAGTGATTATTATTTGCATTGTTCACGTGGTGACAGGTGGAGGCTTAATGGAACATGGTGATACTCATTTTGGTTGTTCACACAAAATTTGCTTTTATTTGCTCTTGTATATTTATAACCAAGAAAGGAAATCGATTCAATACTGTCCAACGCGAAGTATCAATTTTGTCATTCAAACAAGGTTTGTAACAGCAATCAACATGATGTTGAAGTACAATGACGCTGCGCTTTTCATTGCAAATAATGGCAATTGTGCACATGCGAGCAGAACTAACGTCTGCAGATTCTAGTTTCATGTGCCGCGTTTCCACTGCGCTGCAACCAGAAAGAGGCTGTGCACTTAAAACGAAGCTTTGTCCAAGGAATTGTTGCAGATTGTTTCGTCGGTTAAGATAAATAATTCAAGTGGAAACAAGTTCAGCTAAAATAACTCTAATATTTCAAATAGGACTTCAAAGGAAGTTAGAAAAACCCAGTTGCCAAATTATGGGCCAGTTTCATGATACTTGACTGCACACGAGAATATCCTGAGCAGTATAAACTCTCAAGCTTTGTTGGATGCATGCAGTTCTCCAGCATTTAAGCAATTGGGAGTGCATACGGTAGTAGTCACGAGTTTTGGCCAATAGCAGTTTATCCTACTTAGTGGGGGAAACCTAACTCCAAAAACTCACTGGAGATCTTCAAATGCTCTGGTGGATTTGTTGAATTGTAGTGTTTTTGAGGTCATGAAAAGCACGGAACCGTGCAAACTTGGCTTCTTTACACTATGTCTGAAATCTTGGGGATGCTTTGTATGTCGACATGTTCCTGGTATTCCGAATGCAGTAACCCAACATAGCACTCACTCGATTTAGAATTTTCAGTCCTGTCTGCTTTGTGTTTACTTACAAGGTTCTCATCATTTTATCCAACCCTGTGACTTGGCATATTACCCACTGCTACCAGAACTAGTATTCACTTTGCTTTTCGGGTACATGATAGTTTCACTATCATCAAACAGGCAAGGAAATTTAGTGCTGTCTCATTTGATGGCTACCGGTAGTGTATTCATGTAACACTCAACATGGAAGGAGCCCTACCGGGTCTGTGTACTAGTGCATACTGGAAACGAAACCAATGAATACTCTGGTCGTCGAAGCTCTGCAACTGCTTAAGTGCATTTCGACAACAACTGCGCTTTCTCGTCACACCAAGCAGAATATTCGATACGGGTCACCTTCGCCCAAACCAGATTATTCTCCGGTGCATTTGGTGCACTTTTGTTGGTTAGCTCACTCGGCAAGAGGTACGCAGTGCAAATAATCAACAAAAGTCTTCATACCTAGCTGTCAGAATATTGCAAATCATTGTCCATGGACAGCTCGGACAATACAGTCGCAGTTGAAAATCATTTGCGGCCCTGCATCGGCAATATTTTAATAAGCTCGGTTGCGCTTACAAGAAGCCAGAGTAAATGATGAACACCGCGGTCACAGCTAGTATGCTTTAGTTGTATACAAAGTGCGAGTTACGCAGTTCAATTTGTGCACTGATGTGCTAACGAGAATGTACTAAAATTGTGATGTTGGTCCATTAACTAGCAATATTACAATTACTGTATATGGAAAAATAGCTAAATAGCTTGGGGCCAAATAGCAACTTTAGACTCTCGATTTACAAACATATAGAAAGAGCGAAAGCAAAATTAGTCATGCCGATCTATGCACCATTGCAACACGAGCTCGTGACTGGACGAAAGATTTCACCGACTCCAGCAATTCCAATCTTGGTCCTGTGGGGTTGTTCCATTAGATGCATCTGTTACGCCAGCTTAAACAACACGCGTGGAATACCATCACATTGGTCACTTGGAAAAGTGTGACTGCATATCAACAGCGACATCAACGGCCTCATTCGCCAACTCGATGAAGGTTGCGATAAGAGGCTAAAGTGCATCAACAACAAGAGACTGCATCCAGTGTTTCTCGGAGGCAGGACAAAACTACCTTCACAAGTGGTGCATACCATGCTTCTACTTTTTATGGCAACTGAAGGTAATGAAAACTGAATAGAAGTACAACTTATCAGTGATTTGAAACATTATGATTCTAGTTGTTAAACTGTTCACCGTGCTTGGCAATTTGGCTGTCAACGTTTCATCACCAATCGAGGTGAAATCATCAATCCAGATTTGGATGAATCTTGGTCTTAAAAGCTCGTAACTAGCAAAACAGTTATGGATTTGAAGATGCCACCTGGATTGGTGACGAACCGTTTGTAATCGAATTGTCAAGGTCATCGAATAACTAAACAACTAAAGCGTCAATCCGAGCTACCGATAGTCTAAACCAATGTGGTTTTGAACCATAAACAGTTAATTTATACGGGTTAAGAAGCGTTGCTTTACAAGTCCCATTGGATAGTTGATGGGGATATTAACATAACAATAATGACGATAAGGACAGTAAAATAGTTAATACTTTAAATATAAAAATTAGGACTTATGGTTTGCATCGCTGTAGTCCTGCGATCCTCTTAGCTTCACAGCACCCACAGTTAACAACAAATAATTCCATTGTAAACTCCAGTTGTAGGATGGAGATGTAGTGCTAAGTGACAAAGTGTAGGTGGATGAGTGCTTCGTCCAACCGTCTTTTAAATACTGTTAATGTCGATGCAGAGAAGACCGATTCTGGAAGAGCATTCCATGGGTGACAGACACGAATGGAAAAGAAATTTCTGCGGCACTCCAGACGACTGTATTTTTCTGCGAGTTTTAATGAGTGGCCATTCAGGTTTGTATTGCTGCTGAGTTGCAGTAAAGAGTGGCACACATGATGTGGGTCTCGCAGAATCAAGTATGCCATATCAGGTCGCCTCGTTGTCAGCGATAGCTTCCACTGAACACTCCCAATCGTTGCAATCTCTCCTGATAGAAAAGATTGCGCACTCCAGTTACGTTCTTAGCTGCAAGGCGTTACGGCTGCTTCAGTGCATTAAGGTCGTGTTTCAGTCATGGATGCCAGGCTTGAATTGCGTATTCGACATGGGGGCGAACATACGCACTGAGCGTTTGTCGAAATATGGAGCTGTTTATTTGTCCAAATGCCAGCCGTAACAGCCCGACGTGTTGTTTCCCGGTCTTCGAGGCATTTTCGGATTGCCTGGAGCAACCCAAGTCATCTTGAACCAGGACACCAAGTCACTTTCGAGAGTTGAATGTTGTAGTATATTCGTTCCGAGTCGATATGAGTAGCTGCTCTGATGTCGGATGGAAAGCACCTTGCATTTACTGACGTTGAAATGCAATAAATTTTGGGTCGACCGTTGATGCATCGTATCTAAATCACTCTGAAGCACATGTTGCTCGGCGTTCGCCTGGATCCGGCTCCAGATCTTGATATCGTCGGCGAACGTTAGAAAGTTTGAAGCGATTTCCTGAGCAAGATCATTAATAAACACCAAAAACAAACGTGGACCTAGAACTGAGCCTTGCTGCACACCACACTCGCCTAGTATGGGGTTCGGTAAAGAGCTCCGAACTCTGACTACTAATTGCTGTTGAAGTAGAAAATTGGCGATCCAGGTTAAAAGAGGGTCTCCGAACCCGTAATGCTGCAGCTTGGATAGTAGTATCCGATGGTCTAGACGATCGAAAGCCTTTGAAAAATCCAGGTAGATCACATTAGCACCTTCTCCAGCGTCAGCTGCCTTGGTCCAATTACTGCGTGCAATTAGTAAAT